AGAGATGGACCGGAGCACAGAAATTCCTGCCTCCCACCTCAAACCCACTCTACTGGTTCCTAGTGCTTTGCAAATTCCTTCTGATAGGGTATCACCGTAAAATGATTCTCCAGCCAGTACTTTCATGTTGGCACAGAGCTGTGCTTTGAACAATTACACTGACATTTTCCTGAAAACAATCCCCAGGATTTAAACTAAGAATGCAGAAAGCATATTCAGCTCCACACAATAGGGTAAATTTATCCCCCAAATCTATGCAGAGCTAGTATATTTTAGCCAGGAAATTCAAGGCCTCTTCCTGTAAATATATTAAGTTCCCATGCTTGTGTCATAAACTACAAAACCTGGCGTGTTTACAGCAGTCCAACTGCAAGGTGCTACCCTCTGAACATTACTTGAAATGATTACTCACAATGGACAGCTTTGTATAAAGATAACAGATCGGCAAGACCATAATTGTATTTGCAGTGACTGTGCTCTGTGATCTAAAAATCAGACCAGAACCAGAGAGAACTGTTGGAAATTTTTCTCATCTGATATGGTTGAACAGTGATATCCTGAGATGCAGCTGCCATTATATTAATGACGTAAAAAACACATTAGGCTTTTTACCTTGGTCCCAACATTTCTTATGAGATTTTATGTGCTATATGGTACTGTTAAGGCAATGATTCATTTTAATGGATACTGCTTTTCTGACACCAGGAAAATAGGTATTACAGTTAGCATTTGTCATCCACAGCATTTCTCATCCAGATGGCAATTGACAAGGCACAGAATACATATAGGTGGTGAGAACAATAGTTCAACTTGTGTGTCTATGCAGATTAACTAATAGAAGAGAATAATTATGAATATCAATGTAGGAATTTTCTTTCACCTCCAAACTTGGAGCGCAAACTGTCCATGATTTTCTCTGTGAAGGTGTCAAATACAAGATGTTTCTGAGGAAGGATGCCAGAGGCAAAGAACAATAACTGCTCTCATTGTTTGTGTGACTATATGTGTGCGTACCTCTTGCTCATACATTCCTGATTCAAGCTTTATCTTTTGGCAGTAAGTTCCACAGACTCCTATGGGTTATCTGAATCACTTTTTAAAAAAAATATTTTAAAGTATGTTGCCTTTCTTTTCCATCAGAATATCTCCTTTTCTCATAAGGAAGTGGACAAGGGCATTTACCAGCTTTATATTGTGCACTATTTCATTATACTTACAGTGAGCTAAACTCTGAGTATAGAAAAGAATTCTGCTGTCACTTTACAAGCATCTTCATGATGGTAAAGAGACATCTCACTGGTTACAGTCTATTAACCTTGGCATAGGGTTTTTATAGTATTGTTCTGCCACGCACAGTTCTCACAATCTGAGTTCAAGCCAAGATTCAGTCCTATTTGTCATGTTTGCAGGGAGTTACACTTGATGTTGACTTAGATGATTTCCCCCCACTAGTCTCTATTCTGATGCCTACTGATTTTCTCTAGAGGTTTCAGACCTGGTTGCACAGTGTATGTTGAGTGACCTCAGTGAGCTGCCCTCTCCCCTCCAGTTTTGCTCATACCAGCATTCAGTGATGCCTTCTCTTTCAGAGAGTATCTTCTGTTTTCCTGTGTCCCTGCATTGCTTCCATACCATTTCAGAATTCTTTTATTTAAGTAGTAGTTTATTATTTCAGTTATCTGCCAGGTTTTTTCTCTATTTCTTTGCCATTTTTTTTTCTATTACAGTCTCAACTCTTTTGTATTTATTTGCAGAGGAAAAAAAAACAACAACAAACCCACTAAGCACATGTAGAACGTTACCTGGTCTGAATGAAGGTCCTGCATGTCCCTAACATCCTGATATGTGAACATGAGGAGCCCTCCATTTCAGAAAGAATAATTTTCCAATGAATACATAACAGACTGGGAAAACACAGTGCTGTGATTTTTCCCACTGATTATTTAGATGTAATAGCCACAATTTTAGGTCTTTGTGGCTAGGATGGAATACAAATGCTTGAGAAGGCTTCCCAAAGCACTATTTGTGGTTTTTAACACACATAGAAAAGCTATTTTCCACATTCTCATCCGTGCATTCTTGCATGCTAGATAGCAACTAATTTGAACAAAACACTACATTGTGCATTAATTGGTCGAAATACAGTTGTCCTAGTCACAAATAATATTGGAACTAAAACTCACAGCAGCAGTGGCTGGATGAAAAGTAAATCTAGTTGTAAACCAAGTGAATACTGTGCTGGTGTGATAGCTTACTTATATTTATATCCCCACCATGCTTGTGTTTTAACAACTCACTGCTTGTACTAAGAATTGTCAATGCTTGATATGTCAGAATTAAATTTAAATTATCACATCCCACACCACCAGATTCTGATTTTGGCTGGGACCATTCATATCAAAATGAATTTTGGGCCAACCAACAGAATAAAAGGAAGCTTTACTCTGCTGCAGGAAAAAGTATATAATATTCGTATAAACCTATAAAAGCCCAAGTAGAAAAATAAACATGGTTTGTCTGCCTCTGTACCAGCCAATGCTATTCCTAGTGAAAATGGAAAGGTTCTGAGAGCCGGATACTGATATGAAATCTCAGTTCCACTGCAATATTCATGGATATGTTAACGGAAGAGAACAGGATCATTTGCATCCTAAATTCAGGCATTGGTGCTATGATATTGTGACAGTTCATCGCCAAAGACACCCACGGGAGAGCATTAGCTCTCCTACTCCTTGGGTCAGCAACAGCACTGTGTGGGTTGCTGATGGAGAAGGTCTCTGCTGCAAAGCAGGAGCAGTTGTGAAAACACCAGGAGAGAGCAACTTTAAATCATTCTGTACTGAATGATCCAGAGGATGCCAGGAGGCTCTGAAAACAGCACTTCACCCACCTGGCCCAGCGTCCATCATTAGTTGTAATAGAAAGGGGTCAGTGCCACTTTGTTCTAACAGCCTTCTCACCTCCACACCTCAGTCCGCTCTTGGCCACTAGCACTTCATCCCTTCCCAGACACATGCTGCACATAGGCATGCATCCCCTAACACCAGCCAAGAAAATAACTCACCCCTGAGGCCGCTGTGCCAGAAACAATCCTGACTTCGTGGCCACCTTCCCTCCTCCAAAAGCTACAAGCCAAAGAATCGGAAATGCAGGGCACCTGAATGCGGGGAAAACGGGAGGATTCTGGGGGGAAGGCTGCAGTGCCTCCTGTCGCCTCTAGGTGTCGCTGTCCGCTGAGCCTCGAAGCACGAAGCGTTTCAAGAACCTGGACTAACTCCCAGCAACGTTTTGATGGATGTATATACCCGTGTACAGTTGGCCATCAGCAGTTTGCCTGCCTCTGTACCAGCCAACGCTATTCCTAGTGAAAATGGGCATCACAATTGCTTTCACTTATTCACAATGGCCTATTAGTGTTCTTTTACAGCAGAAACTGAAGTGCCCAGTTCCTTCTTTTTCCTTAGTAATAAGCTGAAGTGCCTGATCTATCTCATCAAACATCAGGTTTAGTTTCCTCTTTGTATTTCAGCTCTCCATTTTCACACATCTGACTCAGAACTTTGTCCTTCCAAAGATTAAATTTGGTTTGGGAGTATTAAATGCTGAGTTACTATCTGTGGTGGTAGAAATTAAGACCCTAAATCAATAGTGGTTTTTGGTTTTTTTTTTTTGAGCAATGGAAAAATTTCTTCCCCTATCCTTAAGTACAAAGTCCCTCTACAAATTTTTTCACCCTAATCCCTCTCAACTATTACATATGCTATGTTAGGTACTAGGTATTATACACTAGATATGTGTTCCCATGCTCATGTGCTTTATTTTTAGGATCTTGTGGAATGATAGCTATTATCAGAACATATTTACTTGCTTCTTCCATTCCTCCATTTTTTTTTAGCTGCAATGATATCACAACAGATTTTATGACAGCTCTGCCTTTCAGCATTTTTTATCACCCTCCCTTAGCTCTGGCTATAGCTCCTAAAGCCACTGATAAAACCTCTGTCAGTGAAATCCCATGGTTCAAGCTGAATCAGGGTTACTGCTCAGCTCTGAGAGTCCTCACAGACAAGGCTCCACTTTCTCTCCTTTTCATTCTGATTTCCCATAATATCTGCATGGTTTCTGCTCTTTAATTTATTGTCTGTGGAAGAGTTCGGTTGCGCGGCTGCATGCTATGTTAGTTATTCAGAGCACTGATGCTTTATGAAAGCAGCCTGCAGTCATCAGGCAAGAAATGACATAGGTTTCTAACAGAGGAGAGACAGATGTCAGTGCATTCTCCTGTGGGAAGAATAACTAGTTTCATAAAAAGAGCACTGGCCCAGTTTTTGAAAGGTAGGCAAAAGGTTTGGTGCCCAAGTATTTCTGAGGAGCTGCACACAAGGGTTGGTTTCATCACAGATCACTTCTTTCCCTGTTTTGTAAAGGCTGCAGATCTTGGACTGTATCCCAACCATCATGGAAAGCTGGATTTAAGAAGAAAAATTATCTAAAGGTGATAATGGAAACAATGTATAAGATTGGTAAATGCACCAGTTGGTGTAAACACTGGTGTAAATTTACACCACTTGGTGTAAATATTTCTTCTTTCTAAGTTTCTTATGTGCTAGGGACTCCCTGACAGGGAGAACATCTTTTACTGAGAAAACACAATCAACCCTTGTGCCCTCTGCCAGGACCTCCAGGATCAAACCAGGCAAAAACCAATGGAAAATGAAAAACTATTTCTTTGGAGTAATTGCTGGAAAGAGGAAGAAACAAGTTAGCAAAAAGAATTCCAGTACTGAAGTTAATCTCAGCCAAAGTTTCTGGACCTACATTCATACAAAAAGGAAAGGAGAGAATACCCATGAGATAGACATTAACACACCAAAATCCCACTTCTCAGATGTTTGCATGACACAGTCTTCCATTCGTTGACAGAAGAGACATATATGAAGTCATGCAACATGAGTGTAACAAAGCAGAGTGAATCATGAATGTGCCAGGCACCATCCTACCTTTCCTGAAGCCCCACAGGTTTCATTCTGAAAGGAGACGGACTGGCACACAGGGGAGGTTTGAGCTCAGGAACACACTGGCCTTGAGGGTCCACTACAACATTGACAACCTTTGGAGCCTGTTCAGGCTGGACCATGCTGCTGGTGGTCTTAGACTGAGATGTTGGCAGGGGAAGGGGTGAGAGGTGGATCTCCTGCTTCTTTTCCTTCTCTGGTCTCAGTGACAGCTGGATCTTCTCCTTTAATCTGTACAGAATCTACAGAAATAAAGGGGAAAATCCAATCTCAGTTCCCTGCTAAACAATGTAATGAAGGTATCACAAATGCTGGGTAAAAGGTTGGTATACGTGGCTTTCATTTATAGAAGGTAAGCCACAAGTTGTGTTATACAGCATTTCCCACAACAGGGTAAGTATTTCTATTGCATAAACCACAGTGTATACACATGGGCAGAAGGGATTTTAAGAGTTCTTATTGTAAGCCAGTAAGTATTTGTAATACCAGCAGTTGTATTATTAAAGGAGCAAAAGACATAGAACAGAAAAGAGTTAGAGAAGGCACCGTGAAGAAGGAAATACTGATAAATGAAGTAATTGTAGAAAAAATTGTAAGAATTTTAACACAAGAGAGACAATGGCACAAAATAAAGTAGATACTTTGGATATATACGTGTCTCTAATTATAGCAGCTTCAATTTGTTTTAAAGCAGATGTTCTTAAAAGCTCTTACTCAACCCTACTTGGAACACTGTGTGCAGTTCTGGTGTCCTCAACATAAGAAGGACATGGAGCTGTTGGAGCAAGTCCAGAGGAGGGCCATGAGGATGATCAGGCGGCTGGAGCACCTCCCATATGAAGACAGGCTGAGAAAGTTGGGGCTGTTCAGCCTGGAGACAAGAAGCTGCGTGGAGACCTCACAGCAGCCTTCCAGTATCTGAAGGGGGCCTACAAAGATGCTGGAGAGGGACTCTTCATTAGGGACTGTAGTGGTAGGACAAGGGGTGATGGGTGCAAACTTAAACAGGGGAAGTTCTGGTTAGATATAAGGAGGAAGTTTTTTACTGTGAGGGTGGTGAGGCACTGGAATGGGTTGCCCAGAGAAGTGAATGGTCCATCCTGGCAGTGTCCAAGGCCAGACTGGACAGAGCCTTGGGCAACAACGGTCTAGTGTGATGTGTCCCTGCCCATTGCAGGGGGGTTGGAACTAGATGATTTTAAGGCCCTTTCCAACCCAAACCATTCTATGATTCTATCATTTTGCATGGAGCTGATGGTTGAACAGAGTAACTTTACTAGGCTACATTTTCAGTGGTAGGCTGCTACTACTCTGAAATACTCCTCAGGATAAGGATGTCCCTCAATATCCTCAGAGGAACATACCTTGTTCTGGAATAAAGCTGAAGCAACGTGTAGCCCATGAAGCTATTTAAGCATCTGTTCAGAAAAGTGTGTTTTACAATTACCAACACATTGATATCTCATCATACTGTAATACCAGGATTCTCTGTCCACCTATTGCTTATGAACTTGGATGTCAGCATCTGCAGCAAAAGCTTTTCAGAATTTGTCCTGATCCTCTTTCACTGAACTCCACACTGATGTTGCTGTACACAGGCTTGGTGAGGGCTGGCTGGTGGGTAGCATGTACTTGGTAATACCATTCCAGGGGAACCTGTATTATTTCTATTTAACACATCTTATCTCTCTTGAGAGGAATGCAAAAAACAGTTTCTGAGCTGTAGCTGTGCCATTTTCAAAATGTGCCTTACAACCTATGAAACGTATGAGAATTACTATGGCAAGAACTGTGTGTGGAGGTGGGTGAAAGGCACTTTCACAGCTTTTTGAAGGTGTCTGCAGATAGCTTTCTACCTTCTACTCTGCTTTATCTGTTGCTGCAAAGGATTCAAAGTGAATCCTGGTTTGCAAAGCCATAAAGACAAAGCTTAGTCCAAAGCATTTTTCTGCTGCTCTTTGGCAGCTGTTGTTCTGCTAGCACTGCATAAAGATCTATCACTATCCATAGCTTTCCACGGAAGACAGGGTATCTCTGATGGGTTTGTTTTTTCAAGATTAGCATTAGAGGTTTAGCTGGGAACTGACCTAATGTCATTAGCAATATACCCATTAAACAAGACTTAGCTACGTAAACCATCTGTTCATTCAGAAGAGTTTAGAATTAAATTACACGGATAAGATAAGCTGCTCTTTGCCATTATTCTGCAGAAAAAAACAGCCCTACTGTGAAGCAAGGACACAGGTATCAGTAGAGATAAAACAGAAGCTTGAAATATTTTAACTCTTTTTTTCCTCCAGTGATTGCTTTGGTCTTATTTTTCTGGTAACCCACAGAAATATAGCTCAGGCATTCATGGTCATGACAATATTAACCATGCCTTCTTGTCAGTGATATATTTTGACTTAGTTTTGTCCCTTGGAGACCCAGAGAATTATGATTTTGACTTTTGTCCCTTGGAGACCTAGAGAATTACGATTTTGACTTACCTGGATGAGTATTATTTCATATCCTTTTCAATGCTCTGTTATTAGACCCTAGGAAAAAAGATAGCTTGCAACCAGCAGAAGTTGAAGAAAAGCTGAAGAACAGCATTTGATCTAAAAGCTAACACACTTTCCTCATAAAGTGTCGTCAGGGCTATCATGTTTTCAATGAATTCCATGTGAAGGTCAAACAAACAGAAATGGCCCAAAAGATCAAACCAAACAGCCAAAAAGATCAACCCAATCACCAAGCTCTGTGAAGGGAACAGTTTAGTTGTACTCATATTTCAAATCAGTTTAAACACATCTGTCGGTATGGGTGGAAACAGATACAAACGCCCGAAATTAGGAAAGCTGACATTTTACTGATACCTCAGAAAATTCATTGTGATGCTAACCAAGAGGCATGGAGCAACTGAACACCACAAAGTACTATTTTGCAGGACACACAAAGTGGGTCACCTATGATTTTTTCATCTATTAAGCCTAGGGTTCAAAGCCACAGTCCAAAATGAAAATAAATCTTCTTTCTGCCTCCTTTTCGACTCATATGGAAGAATGACAGGGTGCTGACAGCATGACATTCACTCTTCGTATCTCTGCTCAGATTGCTGCAAAGGAAAGCTGACATGTTACGCCCTAACTTGGCCAGTACCTCCTATGTAGCCGTTCAAAATGCCAGTGGAAACTGCTTTTATTCATCTTCAGAGATTGCCAGGAAATCCCAATGAGATAACTATGTTTCCAAAATGAAGATCTTGGCAATGCTTATGTGGAGCTGTGATATGAAAACTCATCTGCCTAGAGACATGTAGGACACCAGGACTGTATAGTAAAATCTCCCAGAAACTATGAAAATTCAGACAGTTCACTTGTATTAAAAGTGCTCTCTGTAACAAGTACATGAGCAGAGAGAGCTATTGTGCATGTGCATTCATGTGTATCTTTCACAGGCCAGGTTGCTGGAAGTTCACATTTTTCATTATTTTAAATGAAAAGAATTCCACTTTTTGATTTATTTGTTTAGTGTGAAAAAGAAAAACATTTAGAAAACCCTCATAGTACAACTTGCTACAGGCATGACATAATCTGAAGACGATACTTCCAGACTACTCAATGGATACTTATATGTGTTTGTTTTTTTTTTTTTTTAAAAGGATATGCAAGCATACTGGTTTATTAAAACAGAAATATGATAGCAAATATTTTAACCCACTGTCAAATATTGTGTTATTTAGTAAACTTGGTGATGGCTCAGTTATTTCTCTATGTAAATCAAAATAACAAAACCTGTTTCACGCATAGAAGCACTAAAAATATTTATTGTTACTTAGCACTTTGCTTGGCAAACTTTATACATGATGTTCCCAGTGGAACTGAGCCCATGGTCAGGCCATGATGAGGATAGCAATGAGCTGGATGTTGGCTTCCACCTATGACAAATCACTCCTGGGATGCAAGAGGTTCCCATACTATGACAACAAGGACTAGCTGAGTAAATACATAAAATTACCTCAGAGGCAAAATTTACAAGGCTGAATTTATCTCATGTGCTGCTGTATTACACTGTTCAGCAATACTCTGCACTGTAGATTTTTGTGTATAGAGGCCAGGTATTTTTTAAATTCCAGCCAAGCATTAAGAAGCCTACAAGCTGTTAATGCACAGTCCACTGTCAGTGAAGGGAAGCGCTGTGATTTGTAAAACCCAGTTAAGGACAAGGCTGCACGTTTTAAATTTTCTGTAGAAATTACACAGAACAAAGCAATAGCTGACAATTCAGCTGTCTTAGACTGATCACTGTTGGGCATTGTAATCATCACTTAAAGTACTTCCTGCTCCACACTTGAAAGGACACTTCGAAGTCATCTGCAGAGTCTGGCTAAGCTTTCTGCTTTTGGACCCTCTAAACCACAAGTATCTACCTATGGACAAACAGATGCCTACCCTGTAACTTTAAAAAATAGGCCGCATTTTGGTGCTTTCATACGATTGCTACAGCTAAAGCTACTTAGGATGAGTCCTAATGCCTTACTAAAGCTGAATGGTCTGATAGACTGCAATGGCTGAATTTGAAATACTGAATACTTTCCATAAATCTGCCACACTGACACACATAGAGTGGGATGAAAAACAATGTGAGATAGATAGTTTTTAGCCGTATAGATTGCACATGTATTAGCAGATCCTGGCAAAATTTGAGACAGTGTCTATTTGTGCATGTCGCACATGTAAAGATGCAGGTTGGACCTGGGAGGGGTCAGAAAGAGCAATGCCTTCAGAAAAGACCACAGCATCATAGTAAATCCATCATGAAGGGAGTTCAAGGAGTCTACTAGTATTCATCTTTCTCCTAACTCCAGATGAGCTGCACTCAAACTATTCCTGACAGATGCTTGCCTGAAACCTTAATGGGTGAAAACTCCTGAGCTTCCCCAAGCAATGCACTCCAAGGTCTAGTGACTTTCGTGCAATAACGAAGTTCCTTCTCATGAGACAGCCAAGTCATCCTTTCAAAAATTTTGCTTCTTTTTCAATCCTCAGTGGAGAAAATATTACCTTCTTCCTCACCACAGCCTTTGAAATCTTTCCATGTTTGGGAATCATTATGTTTGTCCTTGCTCTTCTTTGTCACCAAGTCGAATGCAGGATGCAGAGATCATATGCTCATTTATACATCTCAGGGCAAGAAGTGTATTTTTTTGTAACAATGTGATGTTACTCATTTACCTCAGTGTGTGCTCTGCACTACTGCTGGACCCTTTCCTACAAAATTCTTGCTTTGCCACGTATTTCCTACATTGTATTGATGCACATGATTAGTGCTCTTGTCCCTGCAGAGCATCATTCTTGTTATTTCCCATGTTTTCTCCAGCACCTTAAGAATATTTTAAGTTCTGATGCTGTCCTCTACAATGCTTGTGATTCCCAATACCACATACGTGTTCCAAATAAATAATATAGAATTGTGTAGTACCAGGAAAAGGACAGACAGCATTTCCTATACCCTTCCGGTTAAACAGTCAGTATGACCAAAATACCTGCTTCTCCAAAGTAGAAAGTCTCAGTAAAAGTACTGCTACAGTTACCCTACCATTTTTGAGTGAGATGACCTGGAGAAATGGAGATGATTAGGCAGTGGAAAAATGAAGCAACAATTTTTGTGAGAAAATAAGTGCTTTTCAAATCTCAGGGAGACCTTAAAACCTTAAATAAGATTTTGTTACAAATATGATGGTTTAGTAACATCTTCAGTTTAAACATTCTTTCTATCTTAAGGTTGTAAGCGGTAAATCCATCTAGGTTAAAGAAAATTAAATGTGTTTGAAAGCAAAATATCCCAAAAGACTCCAAGATACTAGGTATTCATAAATACTGAGAATTGTCATAGAATTCAGCAAACCCTCATACACCCCAGAAGAAATATACAATTCAGAGAAGGAAAACAAGTGACAATATTGGAAAAAATGCACAAATTACCCCATGAAAGTCAGTGGTGGTGCTGTGTTCTTCATCTTCTGTGTGACTCTTGCACATCTCATATTCACCATATCAGAAGTGGATGCCCAGAAACCTGGCCACTGAAGTCATACAATGCGAACAGCAAAGTTTTTCAAATATCTGATCACTACTTGCTGTACTTATTAGTCATTTCAGTATAAAATTCATATATTCAATATGTGAATACCAACACACACACTAACAACTGTGTGTCTTGACAATTCTGTATCAATGTGGTGTTGCTTTTACTGTCCAATAAAACTGAAATACAGGCAGCTAATGCGACTTCAGGGATCCTGGGACTTTGGTAAGAAGACTGAGAAGTCATCATTCATGTCACTACACAGTTACTCTGCAGATTTAAGAGCCCACTATTTATTTCTCCAGCTTCCTGCTAGTTACATTCTTCAGTTGGACTCAAGATATATCAAGAAATACGGATCTTCAAACTTAGCATTATGAGAATGACCACCTCTTACCTTGCAGCTGAGTTTCTAACAGCTTTGAGAAAACACCTCTCATGTAAAGAATGTGTGACTCTACCCTTCAGACTGAGAAAAGCATGAAGAACAGCAAAAGAAGGTAAAAAGGCAACTTACCATTAAACAAGTTACTAGAATGACAAAGATGCTGAGAAATATGACAACCGCATAAAATCCTTCTTTGCTCCAGATTTTGTCTGCTTCATGCTGGCCTTGCAAAACATTTTTCTTTTTGAACCAATAAAACAGAAAGAGGAAGAGAAACAAAGTTACACAGTAGTGTGTGCAGATTAAATAGCTCTTGCCAGGCATTAATCACCCTCCTCAGCTTTGTCACAGTTCACATTCCACAGTATATGGCACACACTTTGAACGCTGCTATGTGCATACCCACCTCACCTGCACTCCCTGTGTCTGTGTGTGTGCATGCCACCCAGGGGTTCCAGTGCCACACGAGGTGATATAAGACCTCTTCTGTGGCTGCTGAGAGAATAATCCTCCACCGGGAGTCATGGGCTGGGTGAAGGTGAGCAAACAAGACCCGTGGCTTTCTTGGAAACTACCAAGCTCATTAGGTAAAAGGGCTGCGGGAACCGCTCAGCCTGTTTCTTTCTCCCCACTGTTTATCTCCAGCCCACGTGCCAGCCTCCCAACTGCTCACACTTGACACACGAGCAAAAAGCAGGTGACTTGCTGGTTTGCCTTTGTGAGCCAGGAAGCCCCGACACTGTCACCTTCAGATTGCGCACACACATACGTGTGCATGTGTAAAAAAATCTGATTCTTGCTGCAAGTAATCTTGTTATCCATCTATCCATAATTCTGGGTTTGCTTGAAGTAATTGTATGGTCTTTGGGTTCTTGCTGATCGTACATTTCTGAAACAGCTGTGCACACTAACATTTCCAGAACTCCTGGCGATAATAATAATTCTAAAAGCGTTTATTTTTGGCTTTACTGCAGTGTGGGGACTTGGCTGAGGTATTAAATGACCAGAATTTCACTGTGTTTCCAAACAGAGATTTGGTAGTAGAAACAGGGTACTCATACCCTGAGTTTAACTGCAATGTATTATTTAGAATAAAGAACGTCATCTTTTGTTTCTGCAACTGCAGTTCAATAGATGTTGCTTTCCCAATTTTTGGCTACTTGCTTTTCCTAATTGTGTATTTTCAGTACTGTTCCTAGACAGTAAAAACTACTTTCTTAAGTTCTGGTTTCCACTGCAAGTATTCAAGGTTTTGGTGTTTCCCTTTCACTGAAATTCCCTAATGGCTTTAATTAAACTTCTTCTTTAATTAGTGAGTCGTCTTCCTGTCTCAAGGTGGCCTTTTTTCTGTCTAGGGACACTGAGTAAGAGAATTGGGAGTTTTACACAGAGGAAGGAGTTCCTCTCTTCAGACATGAGTGGCTGCTCACCGGACCTGTGTAACTGGAGGGACCCTCTTGCACTTTACATGGGTACTGCATGCTCCAACATCTGTTAAGCCACTCATTAGCCTGCTCTTTTGAATAGTTAAGTATGTCAAGCAAACTTCCTGTATCCATCAGCCTCTCAAACATAAGAAGTCATGATGAAGTGGAATGCATGCGGAAAGGCTTGCTGAGGAGGAGATCATGGGCTGAGGAACAGAGGACAGGCTGACAAAAACCTGCTGCATGCTGGATGCCTACAGAGTTTTCATGGTTCTCCTTTCAGCACAGGTTTGTGCCCTGCTTGCTTTGGAAAGGGCCAGGACAATGGAGATTAAAGTCAATGCAGATGCGTGACAATTCACAGATCATACTGCCCCAGAATGCAAACATTTAGAGAAGCATTTGGTACCATGGTTAATTTATGGAGAGTTGATTGCTAAAAAAAATGCCTGTGTATAACCAGGACTTGACTGCTTTAGAACTGAAAGCATAATAAAGAAGAGTTTTCTTTGGAAGTTATAGCCCCAGTTAAACCCTTCACCCTCTTCTGCTAAACTACAGAAACAAACGTTGTAAAATTAGTGTATTTGTGTGTGTGTGTAATCATGCAGTGTTTCATAGCCTGGGCTTAGAAGCATTGCAGGTATCCACAGTTTAACAAGGTTTCTGAGTGTCAGTTTGACGTTTAGTGAGCAACTTAAAAAACAGGGCTTTAAAGATAAACTGGAAATCCTGCCAAATATTTCTGCAGAAACTGTTCCTGGACACATTCGAACAGCACTGCCACTACAGCAGGGTGCAGCTCCTCGTGCAATCTGCCAGCTCAGCACAGTGAGGTTCTTCTGCTGTGCTTATGGCACAGGACACAGGTCCCAGTACTGGCTCACAGCCCAAATCCGCAGCTGCTCCACACTCAGCACTGCTCCTGTTGAGCTCCAAGGGAATCCCACAGCGGCAGCAGCAGCTGCAGCTCTGGCCCATTAGCTATAAACTGTTTGACCCTGGGTGGGTTACCCGATGGCTTTCCAGTGTTTCAGATCCCTTAGGAGGAAATCCAGATATAAAACAGGAGCTGAAGGGGAATTGGCTGTGCTGACCTTTTGTAAGTGAGTAAATGGGTTTGGTTTTTTTGTACCTCTCCACTGAAAGGACAAATACACTAAAAAATAAATGAAAAGCAAATAGGATTTTTTGACTCAATGGCAAAATGAGGCACTTACTTAAAATAACACTAATTTATTAGCGTCACAAAACTTAAAATATTTTATAATAGGCTTTGTATATGTAGCTAATACTAAGAGAATTAATCTCTACGACATCTGCGTGTTCAGATTCCCTGATTTGTCTTTCTAAAAATAAAGTTCAAAGAAATGTATGCCACAATTTAAACTTATTTGACACACCATTTTGAAACACTTTAATAGTATCTTCACTTAAGCAAGGAAGTCTCTTCCCAGATCTAACTGCAGGACAGCAGAGTCATTGCTGAAGCTGCTCCCTAATGACAGAAGAGGCTTTGACCTCCAGTAACTGAGTCATCTCACGCCCATGATAAGGAAGGAATTGCCTTCTGAAACATTAGTGCTCATCATTCAGAACTTTGTTCCTTGGCCTGGGAAAACTGGTAAGAGGGATGGCAACTGCCACAGTTGCTACAAATTGTTGACACCCAGGAAACAAGCTTGCAGGATGGGCTAATCATAGAACCATAGAATGGCTTGGGTTGGAAGGGACCTTAAAGATCATCCAGTTCCAACCCCCCTGCCACAGACAGGGACACCTTCCACTAGACCAGGTTGCTCAAAGCCCCTGTGTCCAGCCTGGCCTTGAACACTGCCAGGGATGGGGCAGCCACAGCTTCTCTGGGCAACCTGTGCCAGCACCTCATTTCCCTCATAGTAAATAATTTCTTCCTAATAGCTAATCTAAATGTAACATGTTTCACTTTAAAGCCATCACCTCATTGAGAGGACTCCTGTCCATGACCATGGGCAATGAGCCTCCCACATGAAGACGTGTTTGTTGTAGCTCAATTGACTGATGTTACTCTACACTTCTCTCACTCAGTTGGAAACCTCTTCCTGCCTGAGAATCCACTAAGAGTTCTGGATAGTTTTGAGGAGTGGGAATGTACCACTGCCATCAGAGGGCAAGAAGATAAACTCAGATTAAGCTGCAAAAAGCCCTGAGGAAGGCAGGGGAATACCAGAGCAGGTGGGATGGCAGGGGAGTTCCAGTAGCTCAGGCACCATCAAATACCAGAGTAATCCTGGCTTCAGGGAGGAAGGCTCATCATCATGTACATCATCAAGAGCTTCGTCACCTTGTGTTTGATGCCATTCCCTAAGGAGTCTCTGCAGTCAGGTGAGTCATTCATGCAGAATTAGCCAGCGTAATTTAAACAGTTTAAATTCAGTATAATTCAAAGTGGGGAAGAGTGAATGTATTCTTAACAATCCCACACTATCCCTAATCTTGTGGAAGAGTGCCTGCAGAGGTATCTGCTTTGCTCTGAACTGGAACAAATGTGTTTAGAAAAATTATTTTATGCATACATACATATATATATTTTAAGACATTAAAATGGAAGTAGTCATTGTAAAATCTGTGACTGAAAGACCCTGCCAAGGTATCAGAAGCTGCCAGGAAAGGCAAGTCTGCACTGGAAAATAGATGAATTTACAGATTTTGTCAGTTAATCCCAATTAGTTCCTTGGGATAAAACACTAATGAAAGGATGGCAAGCTGTAGTTCTGAGCTCAGAGGAAAGCTTACAGGGACCTGGGGATCCAACTTAAGATCATAGATTCACAGAGTCATAGAATGGTTTGGGTTGAAAAGGACCTTATGATCATCCAGTTTCAACCCCCTGCCATGGGCAGGGACGCCTCACTCTAGGACATGTCACCCAAGGCTCTGTCCAACGTGGACTTGAACACCACCAGGGATGGAGCATTTACCACTTCTTTGGGCAACCCATTCCAGTGCCTCACCACCCTCACTGTAAAGAACTTCTTCCTTATATCTAACCTGAACTTCACTTTGGGTTTTTTTCTATTATTTTAACTATGTTATCTAATGCAGGTTAGGAAAGTCTGCCAAGAAATCACTTCCACCCACAGTGAAAACATGCAGGAACATTCATGACCGCTCAGACACTGATACAGTGTCCTCGCAGGACAGTGGATAATAGCCACTTGGTGTGTCCTGTGACAAAGCCTCCCCAAAGACTGTACCTTACACGCATGTGCAATTCAGTGTTGTGATTTCATGTCAAATCTGGGAGGCCTGCAAGGCTTTTGAGCTGCTCTGGGTGCATATGTGCAGGTGTGATGTTAGATCTGCCTTGCCTGATGGCAGGAGCACATCCTTGTGCTCTGCTTTGTTTCCAGGACACCCTCTTGGTCTAGGCTTTTGTAATTTCTAAGCTACTAGTTTCAATCAGTTGTCCTTACAATGACTTACGGTTTCTGTATGCTTTAAGTGCATGACTGCTTCCTTTGATTTCTTCTCTAAGAAGTTAATATCACACACTTCAAAGGCAACCAACAGAAGCTTTGTGCAAGAAGGCTGTAACAGCACATTTTCAGATTGCATAATTTTGGCATGATTTCTGGAAATTTCTCCTTCAGAGTGCAGTATCTCCCAGCTGGCAGTTAACTCCTCTCTCAAAAGACAGTAACCCTCCTTTTACTTACTGTAACTTCAGTTATTTTTGTCATTCAAAACCACTTCAGGTTCTCTTCTACCCTACTAAGTTCTGAAATCCAGTAGAATTTTCTTTTTTCACTCCAAGCACAATTTAAAGCCATTTGGAAGGTGTGATTCCCACGCTACAATAACGTGGACTGCCTGAGTCATTGAATGTGATCCCACAAACAAGCACCGATTTGGTAGTTCGTTCTGGGGAAGTCTGCTCCTGGCCCTTATACACACCATGGAGCGGAATATGATCCTAAACCCCACTTCAGCCACAAACTTAAGACCATAATAAAAAAGCAAATGCTACAACTACAATAGGCCATTGGAAGAGAGGACATATGGAAGGTATTGCCATTGCCCTGGATCCCTGAAATGGCAATGACTCCATTAAATTCATTTTTTCACATTCCCACAGGTACATGTCCTGTTCTACACCAGGCAGCAAAGGACTTTAGTGGTTCCTACAGCAAAGGTATATAGGGAACCTGCTCCTTCAGCTACTGCAGAAGAAGAAACTAGGATACTGATTTTGAGAAAGGTAATTTAATTGAAAATATATCAATATGTGCTTAATGCATCAGCAGATTTGAACTGGCAAATTATTACTGGACTGAATGAAAATGTAGTTCCAGTCACCTACATCCACCAAGACTTCTGCTGTTTGTGGTATTGCATGGGCGGAGACTTTAAGCAGAGACCTCCTGGTTTACACTTGGGTTTTCCCATATAATCCTGGTAAAGTTTCTTAGGACAGGGTAATCTCCCCCACCATTAACTCTCTACAGCTGGGGGTCTAGTTTAAGCTAAGCCTTGTTAGAAAGAGTCAACCAAGCAATCTCAGGAGAGGTATCTCAGAGATGAGATGAACTGCCTCATGAACATAACTCTTCCTTTTTACTGTAGAGAGAATAGTAGACTTTCAAGCCTTCAGCAGCTCATACTGAGATAGGCAGCTAAAAAAGAAGACAAATTCCAGCCCTTACACCTCTGTGTCAGCCACCCACCTAGAAAGATGTGGATAATGTTTCCTTTCTGCACAGACACACTGACTGCACATACGATACTGGTTATGAAGCATTCAGACTCTTCAGTGGAAGAGTGCACGATTTATTAGCTCTTTATTTTATTAGGATTGAGCACACACACAATGTGTAAAATAATGTGTCAAAGGTATCTAAAGCTTTGTGTGAATATGTCTTCCTTCAAAAGTTTGCCTGTTTTGGTTTTCTTTGCTGTTACTTTGTTTGGAATGATTTGTTCTTAGATCAAGTTGAGAGAAGAGTAAATTACTGGTAAGTAGCCAAGCAAGTAAAGATTATATATTGTATTCTAGTAGCTGTTTTCTGTGAAGGCTTAAACATGTAAACAATATATTGAAATCCAAAAGGAATAACTATTAGTGAAAAGCTGCATGATTTTCTAGGTGTATAAAAACCAGCCTTAGCTGTATAATCTGCTGGAACTGAAATATTAAAATAATCTCTGGTTTCTCATATTAGAAGAAGTTAAGAGTCTGCACAACTTGCATTCTAATAATCCATTTCTGAATGATTCCATCTGTTTGTCTGCATTGTTTTTCTAGACAGAAAATTCAAATACCTAAGCCCTCCAAGTTATTGAAATATATCTAACTCAAGATGAGATCTTGGGTTCAGCACTATGTTTTTTTTCCAGCATCTCTTCATAGCTTGATGACATTTCTCAATTCATCTATTATTCATATATGTTCCTGTCCTACGTCTACCTGAAGTGTTATTTGTAACTGAAGTACTTGGAACAGATAATTGCATCTATCGCAAACGTCAAACTCATGTGCTTCAGTAACAAAGGAAATTCTGACCTAAAGGAAGCTTAGCTCAGGTCACTGAGAAGTGATTTAAAGACCTGATTTGACTTCTGGACAGCACTGCTTGGCTTCTTTTTGCTTTGGCTTTCTTTTCTTTGAACAGCTAAAACCTGAGAATTTGCTCATTTTCACAGTGGCAGGCTGCTGTAGTAGGGCATCTAAAATTGCATTAAACTGGCCTTGGGTTTATGTTTTATTTTTTGTACCAAAACCATCTTCCAGAATCTTAAACAAAGTTAGAATACTTAAAATGAGCAAAAGGACTTCTAATCAGTAGATATACAGGTGAACATAACAGCCAGTACTAACTCAGAAATGGCTCTAACATAGGTTTGGATTTAAAATCCCAGGAACTCTTTACCTACAGGGGGAAATACAGTTCATCAGAACCTCTCCTTTTTTTCCATTGTTTTGGACATAGACATCTCCTCTGTCAAAATGGGAGCTTCCATGGAAAATGCTGATTCTTGATAACGTTTGAAGTTATTCAGACCTTGCAGTGAATTCTGCAGGTCTTTATAAGGTAAGGGCTTCTAAGACACTAAAGAAAACGCAATGTGACGAGGCCAGGTACATGATACCAGCAGGAAAAAAAAAAAGGAATGCCATCTTAGCTTATACAATTTCTGCCTCATGCTTAAGAAACTCAGACTGAAAACTACCAGGTATGTAATAACTGCCTAATCTGTTGTTGCCTAATCGATTAGAAAATTGATAACCAACCTCAGGGGAGACCTCTGTTATTCCAAACTGGGATAAACTTTGATGCAAAATGTTGATATTAAGGGAACGAAGCACTTCTTCAGATGGGAGCGCCTCAGAAATTCCTGGCTTTCGGTTCAGTGGGGACACAAACAGTTCCACACAGTTCTTCTTAAAAAAAAGGAAAACAAAAAAAAAATAAATAATTCAGAATCATAGGAAGGGTCTGTGATTAGGTAATCTCTGCTGCCTATAGATTGTATCTATAACTCTTTAAACAAAAGCATAGAAAATAAAGGCTGCAACCTGCTCTGTGAGGAGAGTATACCTATTCCCTGATTCCTTAAATCCCACCTGACTGTTCAAGAAAATGCAAATACCATATGGGGGCATGTCTGCTTTGTCCCATTCACTATTGCCAAGATACCCTCTTCCTGAGTCTAATACCATTGAATGAGACAGGTCAATGTGACATGGTGAGGGAAGGAGCCATGGGATGGGGTCAAGGGCAAAGTGCCAGCAGGGGTTTTAGCACTCAGTTGTCTGATCTAAGCTAAAATGCAGTCTTATTTTAGAAGGTGGTCTTTAAATAGGAATGCTTAATATCATAGTGTAGTATTTTGGCACTGCTTTCTAATCTCATGCCAGAACATTGCAGGCACATACCACGATGAAGAATAAAGTCCTTTTAATCGACTGCAGTCCAACTCCTTAAAAAGGCACAACAAAATGAAAGGACCAGAAAAGTTGTGTTTACATTTAATAGGTAAACTGATAATTCCTGCTCTCCCCACTATTAATTCCTGCCCAGCTGTCTTTGATGCAGTCCTGGTAGCCCAAGGGGTGCTGTATTAGATATCACTTTGTCATGAGGGAACAAAAGTAGAGACTGACAGAAGGTTCTTCTGGTCGCGACAGACTAGAACAACACATGAGACCAGTGGCCCAGACAGTGCTGATGTCCAAAACAGCGTGTGGGAACCTGGGTTTCCCAGGGCTATGGCCAACTTAGCAGAGGCTGTGATGTAGAGTCCAGACCTGCGGGATTCCACACACTTAAGGTAAGCATGGAGCTACCTGCATTGCTGCCTGCACAGGCAAGAACCAGTCTGGTTATTTGCTATTCATTATTATAGGATGGGAGAGATCAGTTCAAACCAGGATAATCACGATTTCCCCACCTCCTCCCCTTCACCTTGAATGTGCATCATTATCTTTTCTGAAGTGAAAAAAAGACATCTTTTACTATTTTTAGAATACCTAGCTTTGCATTTAAAGTAGAGTTGCACAGAAAGGGACGCTTTCAAATCTGCCCTCTGTGCTCTCGCATGTGCTGCTGGCCCATCTGCTTGATAAGATTTATAAGGACTTCAGCTACTAGTGGGACTAGGCATTTCTCAGTGGGACTATTCAGGTCAGCAAGGTTATAAGAAGTTAAAACAGACCTACAGGTCTGGACTGTCAGTTCAGGGTAGAGACTTTTGTCAGCTGAAGAAGCTGATTTGAGGCCGCAGTCCTACTCAGTGTCTGATGTGGGTAGGTGACTGGTTCTGGGTGTAGGTGGCAGGCACAAGTCAAGGCTTGGTGGGGACACAACTTTCCTGGTGTTTTGTGCCTCCTCTTTTTAGGAGTTCCTCTGCTCATTAAAAGGCCTTTATGGGAGAAGGATTTACTGGAAAGTAAGGAGACACTGGAAATGCCCAATGAATATTTCCTGATACACTACATGTTGTTATATCCGAGAGGCTAGCAGGCCCTCTGTTCTCCCTGTGCCCAACCATCCTGGCTGCTAGGCGCATCATCACTCTTGAGAGCTACTCACTTGGGATGGAATCAGTTTACCTCACTTCAGTCATCTAAACCACCTTGAAAGTCAGTGGAGAGAGACTGGCATCTCCAGGGAATGATTTAATCCACCCTAAAATAATCAGGATCAAAATGCCTCTCCTCCTGCAGTTACCCATCTCTATATTGCTTTTACAGGGAGCCTAGATGAGTAGTTTCAACTAGGCTGAAGTAAGGTGAGATGAATTTTGATGTGCCCTGCTTGCTTGCCAGCACTCTGCATGAGAGGAACTGTCTCATGTTGGATGCAAAGTGGGAATAATGTCCCTTAAGATATTTTTCTTCCTCATGAATTTTGACTGTGTGATTTTTAGAGCAAAGAAGGCAAAAGTTTGCTTGCTTTCTTATATCACTAAAATATTAACTGATAGCAGACTTTACAGATGTAAGACTAATTAATTAATGGTATGTACTGTATTTAAGCTACATGCAGGTGCAAAATGACATTTTCTTTTCCCTTACATTACAAGTAAGAGGAGAAAGAGAAAATCTATGGAGCCAGTAGGAAAATAAACAGCATTTTTCTTCTGCTTAGTTACATAACTTCCACACAGCATAGTAAGAAAGTGACTTACCATGTTGCTGTGTTGAAATACACATCCCGAACTCTGGAACATTTCTCATTTAATTGTACTTTTCTATGAGTATGTCTTTCAACCTTTCATTCTGGTTAATGGAAGGGACAAAAGAGATTTAGCATCACCTGTCACAAGTGAGTGACGTCCCTTGCGAACATGAAAAGGGTTGCATTGCGTTCCTATTGATCTTTTCTGCTGTATTTCTTGTGTGATCCTTTCTCACAGAGACATTATTTGAAGCAATTTTATAATCCTTTTTGATGTATAAAATCCTATCAAGGTATCAAGGCAGGAAATACTTCTATGCTGAAGCTGTCAGTTTTCTTCCCTAATATTCAACCTGCATGCAGAATAAACTAAAATAACTCTTCTCCTCTCCACAACGTGAATTGAATGCAATACACACATGATATTGGGTTTTTTGATTCATGGCAAAACTGTCTTAAATAGACAACAGTGTTAGGAATGCATGCTCTTAACCATACATAAAAAACCACACAATGACAATTGCTTTTAAAAGTCTTTCTTGCTAGAAGCAAATTTTTCGCCATCTTTGGCAAATGTGATACCATAGTCTACAAGGTAATTGTTGAGCATGCATTGTTACAGCTGAATAGAAAAACATTAATATTAACATTGTGAGGGCACATTTAATTTACTAATGGAAAATCTGAGGATAGATTGTGAAGATGCCTTTGAAAGGCAGAATCACATGTATTTTTTGAGCAATATTCTACCTTTAAGAAAAAAACACCATGAATAAGTGTTTCTCAATGAATGTGATGTAGAACTGCACTGGAATTAAAACTAGAGGATAAGCAATCTGCTTATGAACAGGACACAAAAGAGGTTTATCTGACTTAATTTTTTTCTGGATTGCAACTGAGAATGCTTTCCTTTCAGAAGAAAATTTTAATCCTTTTGTAATGGAGATCTATTTTTCTGCAGTGCAGTTAAAACATTAGAAAAAAGTATTTTTCCATCCTATTTTATTGCACTTTTTCATAGCGACAGAAAAATAAATTTAAGAGAATTCAAAATAACCTGGTACATTTTATCATCCATAGCCCTTTGGTACTTACAATGAGTCTGTTGATATGAACTTGCTGAGGTAACAGTCCTAGTGCTGCTGCCACTCCTTGGCGAAATATCCGGAGCAATGTGATATTCAGCTTGTGTACATCCATTTGCAGTGTCTGAAAAATAAAACCAGTTCAAATGGAATCTTTCCTCAGCACATTCAGTTCTCAAGATGACTGATCTCTGCGACTGTTTACTAATTGTTTTTTTCCGAGAATGATAATCTGTGCAATGTATTGCATTGCAGTAAAGAATAAGTCGAAAGGAAAATTTAAGCATTTTAAATGCTTCTCATTATCAAAGTACCACCTTTCCTCAACTACCTTCAAAAGAGGTTCCAGAGGTTTTTTGGCTAAATTCCTTGGACAAGACATAGTGTTCAAGCTAACACAATTATCACATTAAGAATTGCTACATTAAAAAGTCAAGCATTAGACACCAATTCACCTTTCAAGAATGAGATGTTGGGTTTACACAATGAAGATTTGCTTTGAATATTATCTTAACATTTCTCCCTGCAGGTGAAGAATGAGTCAGACATAGTGAAATTATAGGATTTTAATTTTGATTAGCTGTTTCTGAGATCAAAAAAGAAACGTTCTGGAACTTGATGATCTTAAGGTTCTTTCCAACCCTGACTATTCTATGATTCTGTGATTCCACATGCTTGAATTCCCTAAAACTTCCTCATGTGTTTCAGAGAAGGCTATAATGATGAGTGGTGTTCCTTAGGGGTCAGTGTTGGGATCAGTGCTGTTTAACACCTTTGTCGGTGACATGGACAGTGGGATTGAGGCGCCCTCAGCAAGTTTGCCGACGACACCAAGCTGTGTGGCTTGGTTGATACACTGGAGGGAAGGGATGCCATCCAGAGGGACCTGGACACGCTTGTGAGGTGGGCTGATGCCAACCTTATGAAGCCAAGTGCAAAGTCCTACACCTGGGTCGGCACAATCCCAGGCACAGCTACAGGGTGGGAAGAGAATGGATTGAGATCAGCCTTAGGAAAAGGACTTGGGGGTGGTGTTAATGAGAAGCTCAACATGATGCAGCAATGTACGCCTGCAGCCCAGAAACCAACCATATGCTGGGCTGCATCAAAAGGAGCATGACCAGCAGGTCACAGGAGGTGATTCTCTCCCTCTATTCCACTGTTGTGAGACCCCACCTGGAGTACTGCATTCAGCTCTGAGGATCCCAACACAAGAAGGACATGGACCTGCTCAAGCAAGTCCAGAGGAGAGCCATGAAGATGATCAGAGGGCTGGGGTCCCTTTCATAGAAAGACAGGCTGAGAGAGTTGGGGTTGTTCAGCTTGGAGAAGAAAAGGCTCTGGGGAGACCTTAGAGAAGATTCCAGTGCCTAAAGAGGGCCTATAAGAAAGCTGGAGAAGGACTTTTTGCAAGGGCATGTAGTGATAGGAGAAGGGGGAATGGCTTTAAATTCAGAGAGGGGAGATTTAGATCTGATATTTGGAAGAAATTCTTCACTATGAGGGTGGTGAGACACTGGCACACGTTGCCCAGGGAAGCTGTGGCTGCCCCATCCCTGGCAGTGTCCAAGGCCAGGCTGGATGGGGTGTGGGGCAACCTGGAAGGTGTCCTTGCCCGTGGCAGAAGGTTGGTTCCTTCCAACCCAAACCATTCTATGACTCTATGATTCTGTGATAATTCTCAGCAGAGACCAACTATTTTGCTAAAGCATTTTCTTCCCTGTGTTAGCATCATAGTGAAATTTAAATGTTTCCTCAAGTTCAAACCCTTCCTGTGAAGTCAGTGGAATTTTACCCAGGTAATTATTTAGGTTCAAATCTTCTCTTCCCAAGAAGACCTAGGTGTGGGGTCTTCAAGTGGCGCCTAGTGGTACTTAGGGGTCCCTTTCTTCGCTTCCATATCTCCTTTGCAGACAATATGTAGTGGAGAAGGAAGGGAAGAGGAGTATGTCAGATATCCTAGAAGACTTCCAATGTTTCTGGCAACTTCTGACTTAAGAAGTCAATAAATTCTGACTAAGCCAGTTGACTTGAGCTGAAAAACATTATTTTAAACTTCCTATTTAAAGCCATAGGCCAGTTTGCTGCTTTGAGGGTCCAAGCGAGAATTCTTTCCTAACCAGGACTGCATAAAGAGAATTAAATACCTATGGGTCAGACATCACACTGGGAACATGGCTATGGTCCAGATAGGAAGGCAACCTTTTTCTCAAAGAAAAGCAGCATCACACAGTTTGACTGTTGTTCTCTGTCAGTAAGGATTTATAAGTTATGATGTAAACCCATAAAAGATGTGCTTTCCTTTTCTCCTGCCAATCTGATTTTTCCTTCTGTACTGTTTTTATTTTTTTTCCTATTTTCTCATTTTTTTATACTAATGGAATTGTCAAGTCCTGACACACCAACTGAGATCTGCTCTTACCACACAGCTGAGGTTTAACTCAGCTGGAAGTATTACAGGATTCTTAATTTTAAATTACCCTTTCTACCCTGGCATTTTCAAAATGAAAAATCTTCTTCTCTTTGCTTCTTCTTGAATTACACAGACAACCTGAGTGGTTACAAAATTGATCCAGCTTTTCCACTGAAACAGAGAAATGTCTTGAGAGGGGACACAGGTAGATCTAACAGATCTGAGCACCACTTTTTCTGTTCCCAGGAAGGCTTGCTCCAGCCATGGCACACCTGAGCAATACAGCAGACAAGAATTGGTTTGAAGCTGTCACTACTCTGAAATTTGACAGCCTGGTCTGAGGATCCTGGGTAAATGAGTTGTTGCTGAAATAGGAAGGCTGTTGTGAGTGTCCCTAGAGATCTATCAGGATGGTATGAAGAGTGCGAAACTGCTGACCCTGAGTTATGGGGATAATGCTAACTGTTGTTACTGAGCAAAATTAGCAGGCATAAAATCAAAATACATTCACTTAAACATACTCAAACCAGGAAGCAGATCACATTAATGGAGTTGTTAAATAGTGTGTTAAGAGCTCACTGACTCAGAAATTAAACAGCCAGAAAAACATCTATCTTGGGACGAAACAGAAGATCTTAAAGAGCCTATAAGGAGGTAATAAATTTTTATAGATTTAGTATGCTGGGATCACGGTTCATCATATCCAGGGACAATAAAACGTGGTGAAACTCCATTATCTTCAAAAGAGCCACATTTTCTTCTACCATGTCTGAATTCCTCCCACTGTGTCCTATAACAGATAGTTATAAAAGGCTGCAGAGTGTGTGTGTTTCTGTAACAACTGTCTTGTCCTTGGTGGTTCTAGGGGAAGCCTGAAGACCACAGGACTTGCAGTGTTGGTCTGGACTTAGCCTGCTGAGAAAGATCACTTGGCATCGCAACTGGAGATTTCAGGACCCTTTTAGGAAACCTCCTAAGTGAGTGGGAAGAAATTTGTCCTTAAGCCTCATCTCAAGGTGCTTCTTGTGCAGCATTAAAGACTTTTTGTGACTCTTGAGAAAACTAAAACCCAAGAAGTATCTGGGTTCCTCAGAACCCAGTATCTGAGGAAGAGAAAGCTCAGATTTTTTATAAGAACCTTGCCTTGCTGTCATTCTTAATTGCTGGTGTTAGTGTGAAGCTTAGTAACTTGACAGTTGTAGTAAAAATTAAGTAAGAGTAACATAGGCTGCCTTTTTCTACATCAGGCAGCACAAGAGAGTGCATTTACCTCTTCACATAAGAGGAAAGTTAGCAATCCTGATTCTGCCACTTTAGGAATGGGATTTCTAACTCAATCAGTGAAAGGTAATGTATAGAAATGCTTGATGGTACCCCAAAAGCACCTGCTTTAGAGTGAGCAGCACATCACAAATATGTTCTGTGCTCTCTATTACGCCCTTACTTGTACTGGATTCATAAAAGCATAAAGCAGGAGTGGAACAGACTAGAGACACATCAAGTTCAGTATCCTGTGGCCAACTCTGGATGCTTATGGAAAATTATAAGAACCAGGCAAGATTATACTCTTTTCCCAAGTTCCTTCTGACAAGTTCCATACTAATTTATGCCTACTCAGAGCTAAAAGGCAATGGGTCTCCTCAATTACATGAATTTTATCATACTGACACTATAAAGATCTGGGACGAAGGCAACACTTGGGGCATTATATTCTCAATCTGGCATGTGCACTCCCAAAGGTGACAGAAATTTAAGTCTGACCTGAGGGTCTGGTACAAAATCGCCTTTGCAAATTCTTAACTATGACAATTTTTGTTGAGAAAGGTTAGTCAAAGAAAGGGAAAAAAAAAAAAGAAAAAGAAAGAAGGAAGATAGAAAAGAGGAAGAAAAAAATAAAGTCCTAACAATTCCTATCAGTAGAAAACTTCCAAAACATTAATAAAATTTAATATTATTGTGCCATACTGATGGCATGCTTAGATACTGTGTTGACTATAGTCCATATAGGTAAGGGATTAGCATAGAAAACTGATAAAGGATTAATTACAAATGCAACAATGCCTGCACATTAGACAAACAATATAAACTACCATTAAGAGAATCACTTCTAGACTGGAAACCTGTCCATCCATTTACAGATTATAATTACACAGAAGAAATCATTATGTAGTCTAACACCACCTGTGATAAAATGTGAAATTAACCCCTGCAAAGTAAATCCACAGAAATAAATAAAACCAAGCATTAGCATAGATACACAAGTTATGTCTTACCGTGTACCTCTAGCTGCTCCTTTCGCTTTGGAAAAGATAGGGCTGAAGAGTCCCAGTTAGACAGCACTAATAATTTACCCTTTGCTCATCTGCAGTGTTTATCATGGATTGCAACGTGGTCCCAAAAGAGTTCACAGTTTTGAATCTGCTACTGCTGTTGGCAATAGCAACTTGTTAAGCCTCGAGGTGAACACCCTGGAGGACCCATTTCCCTGAGCAGTTACGGACCTGGATACTGCAGCTGCAGTGACAGTTTCTAGGTTTACGTGATCCAAGCAAAACAGTAGTTTGAAGGGAAGGAGTTTTCTGCTTGCAGTGGAAAACGGGAAGACAGAGTTCCAGGAAAGGAAACTCAGCACAGAAAATGCCAAAGGCCATTCACACCTGAGATCCTACAGGGACTTTTTTATAAAGATTTTCATGTTAAAGAAAAAGAAA